TACAGTAGAGATTATAGCTCAGAGACCCCATAACCTATTGGATTATACATAAATATGTTGAAAAAAATATTGGTAGCACATTTTTGGTTTTAAAAAACTTCTGATGTTTATGGGCAGGAAATCCTGATATGTTATGTGATTTTAATTGTGAGGATAAAAAGCATTTTGCTTTGCTTTTGGGTCTGTCCAACCATCTTCTTAGTTGGCGGTTTGAACTGTGACACAATAAATCTGCTCTTCCTCCTTTTCAAGTCAAGAAGATGATTTAGACTTCTGTTCACAGAGTTGGAACAGTAGCTCTCTGAATTTCTACGGCATTAGGTATGATGTGGTACAATATTGATATTTCAAACTTTCAAACTGTTGTTTATCAGATGAGTTAGTGGACTAAATATGATTTACAATAACAGCAAATTGCATTATATAGTTCCTTTCATTTCAGGAGGATGTCCCGAGGCATTAACAGAGAAGGGTTTGCACCCGAACTGAAGATTGGAGTCAAGAGAGGTGGAGGGCAGTAGAGGTGGGAGAATGACTGAAGTCATGCTCAAAGAGGAAGGTCTTGAAATGGACTCTGAAGGAGGCAGGTTTCTCCTCCATCCCTCATACTGTCACGTTAAGTGTGTCTCAGGGCTCTGTCCTTGGTCCTCTCCTCTTTAATATTTCCATGCCCCTGCTCGATGATATCATCCAAAGGCATGGGGTTAACTTCTACATGTATGTGGATGATACCCAACTCTTGCCTCCACCCTCGACTCCAGGACAACTGCTGTCCTGACGGATGTGTCATCAAGTCCTAGACAAGAGCCAACTTTCTCCAGTTATATGTCAACATGAACGAGGCCTTTGATCATGGCTCCCATCAGCGTCTCCTCACCTCAGGTGCTGTCAGCATCACTATTCATAAATGCACTCACTACCCCACTGAGCTAGTATGGAACCATGATATCTTGTTCAATCCTCAACTGTCTTTTAAACCCCACATCTGTACCATGACTCATTTTGCCTTACCCCCTAACATTGCCCATCTCTACCACTATCTCTCCCCTCAGACTGCTGAGACCCTCATTCATGCCTTCATTATGTCCAGGCTGCACTATGCTAACTCCCTGCTCGCCAGCTTTCCCAATCTTCTCCACACAGATTATTCAGAACTCTGCAGTTCATATTCTGTTCTGCACCATCACCTCCATTTTCACCCAGCTTCACTGGCTTCCCATTCCCCAGATGATTGATTTCAAGATCCTCGTTCTCGCCTTTAAAGCCCTCCACGGCCCTGCTCCTCCCTACCTCTGCAACCTACTAAACAGTTACCAATATGTCTGCTCCCTCCACTCGTTAGGCACGAGTGGAGGGAGCAGACATATTGGTAACTCCATGAGCCCCGCCCTGCCTGCTCCAGCAATGGCGGTTGAGCCTTCAGCTTTCTGCCCCCACCCTCTAGAACTCCATCCCTAAGCCCTTCTGCCTCGCTGGCACTCTTGCCTTTTTCAAGGCCTGTCTCAGGACCTTCCTCTTTGACCGTGCCTTCAGTTATCCTCCCACATCTATCCCCTTGCCCTCCACCCCACTTGATTCCAACCCCAGCTTGGGTGTAAACCCTTCAATGTCTCAGTGCCTTGTGACCTTCTTCTGACGTGAAAGGCACTACATAAATGTAGATTGTCGTTTGTTGTAAGGCACAATTGTTCTGATTAATATAAAGATGTTTTAGAGATTTATTTTTATTTAGTCTGAAGGTCATTTCAAGCCTACACAGTTTTTATCTGTTCAGAATGAAGCCTCATTGTTTTTCAAAATCAATGTAGAATACTCAGAAATAGTGCAGAATCAAAGGTTATCTTTCCATTGTGGCATATGCCAATGATTTGGGTTCTTCTGACTCACATACCCATCTGTCTGCCTGTTGACAATACATTCACATGCCTTAACAAGTATGGCTTCAATCTACCATCATGCAGGCAGTAGGCGATACCAGGATATCACTACCTATGATATGATCCCAGATTGTGATTAGGTTGTTCCTGTATACATCCTCAACTATCCTTTCTACCCCACATCCATTCTTTGACCCACTCTGCCTTCCCCCACCTCTATAACATCACCCGGCTCCGCCACTGTCTCACACAGCAGTCCACCAAGACCCTCATACACTCATTCATAACATCCAGGCTTGACAATGCAAACTCCCTGCTTGTTGACCTCCCCAACTCCTCCCTCCACAGGCTGCAGATCATCCAGACCTCTGCAGTCCGTGTGCTTTCCTGCAATAGGCTCCGTGACCCAATTACCCCCATCCTCACCCGACTCCACGGCTTCCCATCACACATGGGATACGGTTCAAGATCCTGGTCTTCACCTTCAAAGCCCTCATGGCCTTGCTCACCCTTACCTCTGCAACCTCCTCACCCCCTACCAACCTGCCTGCTCCCTCTGCTCAGTGGGCTCGGCCTGCTTCACGTCCCCCGCGGGCATTCAGCCACTCTGCCCCAATCCTCTTGAACTCTATCCCACAATCCCTTGCCTCCTTCAAGACACATCTCAAGACCCTCCTCTTTGACATTGCCTTTGATCACCCTCCTTCCCCCGCTGCCCTCCACCATCCCCAATCCTGACCCCCAGCTCGTGTCCAAAACACTGACTGTCCAGTGCCTTGGAAATACTCTATATATAGAATTGACATTATTGTTATTTAACCAAAGTTTTGTGATGTGATCTGTCCTTTTCATGTCAATCAAGGAAACTACACATAACTACTTCAGTGATATTCACTAAGTCCTCTTTGCACAACTCTGCAAAATGTGGATCTTACAGAGAGATATTTTACACATCTTGCAAAAAAAAACTTGGAAGATCTGCAGTTTAATAATTTAGCAAAATTAAACAATGGTGATTCTAATATTTAATATAGTACCTAATTATACTGAATGCATACAAATTTATTGGACCATACTGTAGTTTTGTATTTTTCAATGTTTATTATTGATGATATATACTGTATTTTATGTTAAAACATACAAGTTTGGGACTATTAACCCTACAATTTCAATAAAATTAACTTAAGCAACTCTACAGATTTTCCTAAAAGTCAATATGTTTTATAGCCTCATTTCAAATTCCTATTCACAGGGTTGGAACAGTAGCACTCTCTTATTTCTCAAGCAGTAGTTGCGATATGGCACAGTAATTTAATTCCAAAGTTGAACTCTTGCATATCCAATGAGCTACTGCACTCAATATGATTTACACAGGCAATTGAGAGATTCTCACGTTCTTAATAAAACAGTGCTTGTTTATCTAAAGTTATCATTATGCTAGTGACCTCATCTTCCCCAATGGCTAATTTCCCATCTGTAAAGCAACCGGTGAGTAAATCAAGTTAGACAAAAAAGATGCACTAGACAGAGAGTTGATAAATGGTTTGTTTTTAATGCATTGGCAATAGAGCTTGATATGATATTGCTCAAGCTCTTTTCTATAATGGACCTAACTAAGTGCAATTAATTTGATTTTTTTTATCAAAGATCAACTCTGTTGTTGAACAAGCAGGGTCATTCAGTCCATAGGTGTAATGGCTTTCACCTGTACTAATAAATGCAAGACAAGCTTGTTGTCTACAGATTCATAGTATCTTATAGCACAGAAGGAGGACAATCAGCCCATCGTGCCTGTGCCAGCTCTTTGAAAGTGCTAGCAACCAGTCCCAATCCCCTGCTCTTAACCCGTAGCCCAGCAAATTTTTCCTTTTTAAGTATACCTATCCAATTCCTCTTTGAAAGCTATTATCAAATCTGCTTCCACCACCCTTTTTCAGGCAGTGAATTCCTGATTCCACAATCAAAAATGAATATCACTGAATTTGTCTAGTATTTAGCACTATTTTATGTTGTCTACAGCATGCTTAAACACTAATATTGTGTTAAGAATTGGTACTTTATTTGCAATGAAGAACATAATTAACCCTCATCATTAAACAGTTTTAGTTTTACTATGAATTTTTTTTCAAATCAACACATTTTAAAATAAATAAATAAAATAAAATAATAATATTTTGAATAGCTCTTACAATGATTCATAACTTACCTGTAGAAGAATAGTTAACAGTTGTAAAGTGGAAATGGGGTAAAATCGTAGCTCAAAGACATTGATTGAGGCTGAAGAGAGATAGAGTTATGTTAGATTATTTATTCATTTATTATGTGTTCTTTGTACTTCAATGGACAGCCAGGAGGATTGCGTGTTCTTTTCTGGTCCTGCAGGTTCCAATAAAACTTCCAAGTTGCCTTTATTGGATCAGCAAATAGATATGGATTTCTTATGCCAATTTTGTATTGCACCTATCAACATTTTATATAGTAATGTAAAAATAAGATCAGGAACCTTTGAAAGAAAACTGAGTGTGAGCACGAATGTTGCCAAATTGCCCACTCCATTAAGTGATAGGTGGGAAACTCCAATTCCAATTTTCCAGGTTCAAATCTCATTCTGAAGACTTGGAAAGGAAGATTGAATAGAAGGTTTGTCTGAAGGCAGATGATGTAGTGGAGACAGTGATGTGGTGAAGCGAAGATTTGTGGAATTACAAATAAGCAGTATTCAAGCTGTGGAAAAATGACAACAAGGTTCCTCGGAAATCAATCCAGATTCCTTGACTTTTCATATCAAAAATGTACTGAATGAGGGAGATTCACTGAATTTGTTTGCTGGTGTCTAGAAAAGTGTTACATTGAATAATAATAATAATAATCCTTGCATTTGATATAGTGCCTTATCACGTTTTTGAAGCATCTCAAAGCGCTTCACAGAATATACTGTCAAATGAATTGACTCTATATTATGTGAGCGAAATGTGGCAGCCAATTGAGCAAAGCAGTGTCCCACAAACAATCGTGGATTGAAGTGACCAATTTTTTTAAGGAATTATTATCTCCAGAAAAGCGATCTGCCAATTGACTAATAATCAGGTTCCTACTTACAGTGGAGGAAACTTGCCCAACATTTCACCCTACTGGGAATCGAACCCAGGCCTCTCGCTTCAGAGGCGAGTGTTCTAACCGCTGAGCTACAGGACGCTGCGATGAGTGCTAACATTTTCTAAAAGGATTTACTAGTACTTGAAGAAATTAATTAGTTGGACTCTTTTAAATTACACTTCAATGTTTATAATAATAATTCCTTCATTTGATCTAGCACCTTATTAGGTCTTCGAGACTCAAAACATTTCACAGAAGATACTGTAAAGTGAATTGACTATATTTTGTGGATAAAACTTTATGACAAATTAGTGCATGCAGGTGTGAATTATATAACCTAATTACAAGATAAGATGTTATCACTTGAAGCGGACAGAATAAGAGAAGGATTTTCTGAAGAATGAGATGGTGATTATTGGGAAAGTTGACTGTTAGGGTTTATTGCCATAAGCATAGCCACATCACAGGTGTGTTAAAAATGCTAAAAACACATTTTCAGTGTTTCAGTTTTTGTCATATTTTGAAAGCGACATATTAAGTCATCAGAAAGGGTGAGGATGGAAGAGAAATGATTTCAATTTTTGCTGTATTGTGTTACAAGACAGATTGAGAGAACTAAAATTACTCTATGTAACACAATTAAGCATGAAGTCATCAATCATTTCTGTATCGTTTATGTGTCAGAAAATGGGAAATAAACAACAAGCATTATGTTTTACTCGTTAATATAGAATGAATATACATGTGTACTTGTAAATATAGAATGAATCAGACGAATTTCATTGGCTATTGGAAGAGAAAAACATCCCAGTTTGTATTATAAATGATCATCTAAGTTAATATCTCATACTATGTCTCCATATCAGGAAGAAAGACTTTTATAAAACATCAAATGCCAGTAATACTGTTTATTAGAGATTCTGACGTTATTGGCACCTGGACTAATTTTCCATTGAAAGCATTGGCTATTATTGACAAAAATGAATGATGTTATTGTGTGCAGATCATCACAGAATGTAAATGGTTGATAAAGAATTTAAAGACTGGTTATTACTGCAAATAATTCAGTCTTAATTATTGTTAATGCAATATAGTAAAAAAGTTTTATTTTATTAGGAGGAATGCATTTTTGCTTCTACAGTGAGATTGGTGTGGTATTCGATTGAACAAGAAGTTCTTTAAAATCTGTTCTGTTGGTTTGAAGTTGTGAGAGTTTGCATGAAAATACTGAACAAAAAAGAATGGGTTTGTTGTGTGTTTATACTGTATGGAGCAATGTGGATTTATTGATAGTTTAGACTGTGAGTAAGAACAGCAATTGTTTCCCTTACATGGGCTGCAAATTCCACATGAATCTGTGATAATTAATCCTTGATGTAAGAATGACATCAACAACATGACCTTCTGGCTTCAGGCCAGTACTTTCCTCTTGGCTGTTGACCATGAGCTGCTCTTATCAGACATAGTTCATTTTGCTTCAGGGACCGTCCAGAATTGTTGTCCTTCTTAAAGGAGCACAAAGAGTATTTTTTTTCTTCCCCACAGACATGTTGCAAAAACAGGAAAATGAATGGATGTGTGGGAAATTCAGTCACAGACAAATAATAGAGGTGTAGGTACGTTTACGGGGAAGAATCTGTTTACAAGACATTAGGTAGGAAGCGTCCCTGATCAAGTAAACTATATGTTGTTTAGTGGAAAGAATGGCCTTGATAAACTGAATGACCTTGTCTTCCAGGCTTTCTTGTGTTCTTGGAAAAATGATGATTATAGATGGACTGTGCGTAGATACAACGTCAATCTATAGGCGGGAGGAATACCAAGTGAAACAGTTCCCTCCCTGTGCTGTAATTGCTCTAATTCTATGACTACTACACCCATTATCAAGTTGCATTGAATAACCATTCTTATAAAATGCACTGTGATTTAAGGATAAACATCTGAAAATTTATATGTCTGCATTCCTGCATTTTATCATGAATCAGAGCAATGGAAAAAACTAGATGGCATTCAGATATAATTTGTTCAAATAATTTGTAAAGTCCAGTCCTCTGCAGTTTATCAACTCTCAGATTTAGTTTCCCTACTTGGAGGTGTTTAGAGGCTGCCAACCAATTCTAGATATCATTTAGAGAGATATTATGCAAAGTAAGCACAGTGTGATCACTAACAAAGAATATTGTAACCATGCCCTCCTTAATATTGTAGTGACAAATATTTCATTTCAGGTTAAGATAATGGCAAAACTTTAATAATGTTCTTAAGTGTGTGCTTATTTTTTTAATCAAATTTGAGCAAATAATAAGTATTTTGTCATACTGCGATAGGATAATGAGCATCTTTTCACCTAAATCAGAATTGTAACAGAACTGCAATTTCTTTAACTTATTTAACAATAGAACATAATGTAAAAAAGTTCTTTGATTTTGCTCACAGTTTTAGCCAAACTCATTTTGTAAGAAAGGAACAGATTAAAAGATAGGAACATTCCTGGATAAAAATGTTAAAAGAAAATAAAACCTTGATTTCCTGGAATTTCTTGTTCAAAGAGTAACATACAAGAAGTAAATATTAAAGCAACAACAACAACAAAATTACATTTGTATAGTGTCTTTCATGTCGGGAGGATGTCCCTAGATGCTGGTCAATTAGGGTTTCGGACCCGAGCTGAGGGTTGGGATCGAGGTGGGTGGAAGGCAGGGGGGGTAGGATGGTGACCAAAGGCACGGTCGAAGAGGAAGGTCTTGAGATGGGTCTTGAAAGAGGCAAGAGAGGGGCGAGGTGGAGGACTGCGGGATGGAATTCCACAGGATTGGGGCATAGTGGTCCACCCACCAATAGTGGGGCGTGTGAGGCAGGGAACTTAAAAGAGGCTGGAGCCTGCTGAGCAGAGGAAGCGGGCAGGTTTGTAGGAGTCAGGAGGTTGCAGAGATAGGGAAAGCAAAAACATAACAAAATAATTAGTATAACTTAAGTGAGCTCCATATGGCCAATTAGTTAACTCTGAATACAATTTGTGATATTGTGTTGATGGGATCGATTACTATACTAGTAGTTGCAATGTTTGTAAATCCAGAATTTTTCTGTTCTTTCTTCAGACTTTCAGGTATTCTAGCCAGCAATCATCCAAATAAAATTGGTTATTCACTTCATGGCCATCTGTGGGTCAGGGTTGTGTGCAAATTGGCTGCCTCATTCATCTACAAAATACCCCTCAGCTCGTTTCCGAAACTCTGATTGTCCAGCACCTTGGCACGTCCTTCCGACATGAAAGATGCTATTTAAATGTAATTTTGTTGCTTTAATATTTACTTCTTGTAAATTACTCTTTGAACAAGAAATTCCGGTTTTTAATGTAAATTGTCATCATAGTTTACATTAAAAACTGCTAATGTAATGGGAAGATTCATTATACTGGCAAATATCAGAGTGTTGGAATAAAACAAGGAGTCCTATTGCAGGTAAATGGGTTGAACTGCCAATCACAAAATCACCAAAAATTGTACAGTTCCCTGTGGGGAAATGGTTCTCATTTCTTAATAGTAGGTCTTCTCTGGACTAGCTAGTAAAGGAGAGAATGGTTAATCAGGTACATGTTTGGACATAGAACATACAAAAGACAAACCTAAACTTTTAGATAAGTAGACTTCAAAACTAAGGGAAATATTTGTACATGTATAGATATATATATATGTATATGTGTATATATATATAGATAAAAAAAGTGGACCCAGGTTTGATTCCCAGGCTGGGCGAAACGTTGGACAAGTTTCCTTACTCCACGCGGCTCTGTTTACCCAGCAATAAGTAGGAACTCGGTTGTTAGTCGATTGGTAGATCGCTTTTTCGGGGGTAATAATCCCTCCAAAAATAATAATAATAATTTGGTCACTCAGTCCACGACTGCTTGTGGGACACTGCTGTGCGCAATTGGCTGCCTCATTTCACCCACAAAATACATAGTCAATTCACTTGAAAGTATATTCTGTGAAGCGGTTTGAGACGTCTCAATGACATGATAAGGCACTATATCAAATGCAAGGATTATTATTATGCAAGCTGTGAAGTGTTTTGAGACCTCCTCCTGATGTGGGCCGTCTAACAGTGTAATTGTTATAATTCCCCATTTAAGATACCATTACCAATATAATCTTTGGCTTTGAAAATATGTATACACTTCCTATTGAATGTTATTTATATTTTTGATTTTCTATGATTTTCACTACTCAATAAATGTTATGAAATTAGGGAGCAAAATAAATAATAAACACACTCTATAATTATTATGTTATCTAAATTTGTAAACATTATAATTTATTTTAAAATTACACTAATAGAACAGTCCTAACTGGATTTGAAAAATCTGTAGGATGGAAAACTGGGGGTCAACATAATGTTACACATAACTGCCCAAGACTTTATCAAAGTGCAACTTTAATCCTTGCATTTTTTTGCATTTGCTATTTGACAGATAACGTGATTGTATTGTACAAAATAGCATGTCTTGGGAAAGCATCTATACAAATGTCCTTTAAACTGTAATCATTAAGTCGGTTACTTTCTCAGGAACCTCAATTTGAAGGTCGAAGGCACAAAACTAACAAACACCAGAGGAAAAGTACAGATTACTGTTGAGGTTGAGTATTCATTTTGACATTTAACTTTAGGGTTGTTATTTTTGTCAATGAGAGCTCTATTGCAATGTGGTTTCCTAGATGCTGTGAATGTATTTTGTTCTGAACAAATTCCATTCTGTAACCTTTCATCCTGGATATTCTGGGTAGTGGTGCAGGGACTTAGTATTGGTTATACAAGCAGAAGCTTGAGAACTTCCCTCTTCCCTGTAATTGTACCCTGCTGGTTTGTGCCAATTTCTTACACATTCCCCTTGTCTTCTGGTTATTTCTGGACTGACTGCTTCAATTCTGGGTAATTGCCCCCCACCCCCCTCCCCGGCACACCACACACACCTGATTACCACATCACGATTTCTGTAGCCTTTGCTTGTGTTTTCCTGGCTGTTATTTGTTTACTTGTCAATAGCTGTAGTTCTGATATCATACTTCCCCGGATTCTTCAATCCAAATCAAATACCCATC